TTCATTGTTTTAACTGCGACGCATTTTCTGATATTTTTCATAGCCGGTTAATAATAGTAATAGAACGATAATTTCTCTTATCTTAACGTGTTCTGATTTTCAAAATTCCTAGTTTTACGTCAGCTGCCTATTGGAATGCAAGTTTGTTTTCAATAAAATAGCTCTTTAAATAAATATTTAAAATAAATGATATTTATTCAATTATAATTCCTTAATAAATTGATTTGATTTTTGAATTTCCTAACTGTCGCATGGCCAATTCACGTGAATTCATTTTCATCTATTGACTGTGAAAAGTTAGATGGGAAATTACGAAGAATTTGCCACATTTAGCACTTGCAATTGATATTTGAAATTTCAGCCAATTAAATTAGGCGCTAAATTTGCAGTTTGAGAAGCGGGAATTGTGCAGAAATTGAATTCAATTGATCGGTAGTTCCCAGCTCAGGAGCTATTTTTCCAGACGTATCTCAATTAACCGATGACAGCAGGTGCCGGGACCAAATTGAATCGTTAGGGAGGTCGTGACTCTTGGCCCGGGACCCACCTCATTTGCCAATTTTAGACACTGCTGTTCTCAATTGGCGAATGCGAATGTCTAATTGAAATTAAAGCGAAGCCAGCAGCAGCAGCTGTCAAAAAGTAGAAATGTGAAAAGCGTGCGAATATTCAATGTCAAGTGCGTGTTTCAGCGAGAATCCTTTGCGTCAGCAAACTCGTCCTGCCTTTGGTCCTTCGAGTGCAAAGGCCTTGGGGCCAATAAGGCCAGATATTCGCATGGATATAGATACACTGGCAGGCTGTCTCGCCTGTGTCCTTGCCGTTGGCTGCCCTCAAGGATAACTGGGCTGAACGGGGTGGGAAAAACAGCCTGTTGCGCGTGGCGAGGTCACCACTACGGACATCTGTGACGTCAGGCAGATGTCCTTATGGTCAGATGGAGGAAATCACTGCCACATGGCCATTTCGAGCGGAAAGGCGATTTAATTTTCGGTTTGCATAAATTGAGTTCAAAATTTGAGTACTATTCTACATAAGTTGTTAGCTTTGTGACACTGTTATTAAAATGTTTTACTTTATAACAAAAATTATGATAGGTACTACCCGTTCATTAGAAGTTAAAATACTTAATTATATAATTAGCAGGTATCTAAAAATACTATATTTATCTTATTGCTTTAAACATTCTATCGTGACCTTTTTTTCCTAATGATCTAACTTTAATTGCTTATAAAGTTTGGTTAGTCTAATAGTGCCAAATACAAAGTCATTACCAAATTGCTGTTAGGACCTCTTTAAGACTTTTATTAAATATGGATAGAGTTTTGTCAAAAATATTAAAAAATTAAGCCTCCAAATCAATATAACCATTCATCATTACTTAAATATTTTTTTTTTTTAAAAGTATACATACCTCTTCTTAAAACAAAAGCAGTTTCTTTCAGTTTGCAATTAGAAAGTTGAACTCATAATATCTCACTGCTCTTAATGGAAGGCTTAAGCCGTAATTCTCGGACGTCAGTTTGAGTACTTCCTTTTATGATTTGCATTTTGTGCTCACTCTGGCGTCATTGGTTTTCTTTTTGAACTGGAATTGAAAGTGGTTCTCACCCACATCAAGTCGAGCAGCAAATTTGGTTTCACCTCCATATGTGCGATACGGCTCTATATCTCTGGATGTCTATATGACTATATATCTATGTGTGGTGTTTCTGTTATCGCCCGTAAACAGCAACTTGCTCTCTGGCGAGGGTAGTGGGGAGGGGTTACTCACCCTTAATTAGCTGATTGAACACAAACCAGTTGAAACAACAATTAAAATACTTGACAGAGGCAGTTTCCAGCCATTCGTTATGCAAATAACTTGGTGGATAAACACAAATGTGCTCAGATATTAACAAAGTCGGATATTAATCCAAAGGTGTGGTCTGTTTTAGGGGTAAACAGTGTCAAAGAACCCTTGCTGGCAACGCAACAAATGCTGCTTTGCTACATTTTGCACGCCAATCAATTCCTCAAATGTTTGTTTTATTTCTACCTGGGTTTAAATTTGCCCGAATATAAAGTGCAAATAAAAGTGCCTAATATTTTATCACGACTGCTGCAAACATTTGCCATATTCAAGAGTCTTCGTTGTGATTGCCAATCGCAATGAATAAATCACGAAGCTTTATTTCCTCTGTTGTTGGCAGAAATTTATACATTTTAGCTTGGCAAGAAGTGCCATCGAAATCCTTGGAGTCTTGTACCTCCAAGTTCTCCGCGTTCCGCTTGGCTCGAAACAAGCTTAAAATTTTTAATTACCATTTAACTTTTGCCTTTTTGTCAGCTGGTTGCCGGGGTTTTTAACTCTTTAATTACATTGGGGATTTAGCTAAATACTTTATGTATTTATGAGGCATGTAAATGGCTTATGATAATAATTCATTATTTACTTCAAGGCTAAGTAAAGGACTCTTTAAATACTAAAGGTTAAACACACATTTCACAGTGAAAATATTAAAATAATAATATTTTTTATCATAAGCTTTGATAAACAAAGTATTTGGAAAATACTTTAAATAAATTATAGTTTCCTAAACATGATATTGTGCAGTTCCCCCCAGATATTATCAGAATTATTTCTTATCAACCATATGCGTTCTTTCCTTATCCACTCCATATGGAACCTTTTCATATATAGAACTCCCAGAACCCCCGATCGTACCCCCTGAGAACCAGTTGGTTTCCAAATTGCGACGCTAATTAATGGCTACAACGACTGGCACTTACAAAAAGTGCCTGGCGTCGACAACGTTTTGGCCAGCGTCGTCATGACGGCCAACAGAATATGGGAGCGAGTACGGGAATCCGCGGGGAGTTGAGGTTGATTCTTGGGCAGTCATTGAACTATTTACGCATGGCCTTGCTCAATTTATATAATTTATAATTCTCAATTAGATTTCTTATTCGTTTTTTCTGCCACGGCTATGCCATTCCCCATAATGTGGCTCTGTTCTGCTGTGTTTGTGCGGCTGAAATAGAAGTCACAACACACGCCAGAGTGTGAACCTTAAACATTTTTAGAGCTTTGCCCATTTAATTGTTGTGTAAACAAATGGCAAAACAAAAAAGGAAAACAAACTTTACCCTTGGGCCTATGACGAAATGTAAAAAATAACAACGAATACGATATTCTGCATCGATTCATCGAATCGCGTGGGGTGATTCATTCATAACCACTCACTTGCATTGGCTCATTTGGAATCATTATTACTTTTTCATATTTCATGGCGTAAGTGCACTGTGCAAAAATGGGAAAATAACTAGTCAATGGTTTGGATTTTTTAAAAATAAATATATTTTATTAAACACATCATTTTTAAAATTGAAATAGAACAACTATATTATTATATGTTTTATACAACATTGTAAAATTATAGATTTGTAATATTTTCTAATGTGTATAAGTTCAACTGATAGCATTTTAGAATTTTAGTCACTGAATAAGGAAGAAATAAATCTGAAATCATTCCAGAATACATTTACATTTTTTCAGTTCTTGGAATATAAAATTGAATGAATATCTTAAGTGTTAAACTGATATATTATTAGTCTTTTTCTCTGTGTGAAAATCTAACTGGTATCGTAATTAGTCTTTGTTGTGGCACAAATTTCCCTTGAACAATTCGCCAGCTATACTAACCTCATACAGTATACTCGTATTCGAATGTGAGTTAAGTTTCGTGGACGTCCGCCGCCTCGAACACCTCGAATACCCAAAACCTCCGGCTCACCGACTGACTACCTCTAACTCACAGCCCAGCGATAAACCTGCCAAACTGCGCAGTTTTCAGTTTTGAGGCGGGGAGTCAATGCTTTTGACTCGGACTCGACGTGTTTACCTTTATAATAAACACATTTCGTTTCGTGCATTTGTTTCCTTTCCACCACGGCCAGCTGCTCTTGCCGCTTTCAGTATTTGAGTTTAAGCGGAGCACATATGCGAAACACTGGAACAACTAAACAACTGAACAACTCACACAAAAGCCCGGTGAAAACAAGTTCAACCGCCGATAACTTGCTTTATCGCCAGGCTCTTCGTACTCTTCCCTTCCCCCATCTTATTATTTTTTTTGTCTGGTAAATCTCGTGCGATTTGTTGGGGTTGGCAGCCCCGCTTAAGTAGAGCCACGTGATTTAATGGATCATTGAGATTTCAGGCACATATTGCAGCTAAGCCCACTTGTTGCATGTGGGATGGGAAAAAGCTCATCTAAGATTGCATCATCTTGATAGGTAGGCTTCCTCTTTGCTGTTTTCTTATATGAGGCATAAAATTTGTATTCGTAGTATCAGCTTACAGCACAGATTGCGAAATCGATGGTGGCGATCTTACAGCGGCGATCAAAGTAATAGTACTATGAATATTAGTATTTGTTATAAAATCTCATTGAAGTTAGGACTTAAAATAAATAAAACAAACTTGTATTAATGACTACTTTGCGTATGAGCAATATTATATTTCATCCATGTATATTTCTTATAATTCATTTATTTATCTAAAGAACATGTTATTTTCCAATAATAACATTGTTACAGATTCTATTTCGGTACTATCTCTCTCACCATAGAGTGTGATTTACTATTTCGAACGTCATTGTAAGTCCCCAGTATTTACATACGTGATTTGTGGATCTGTTGTGAAATCAACGAAAATTAGTAGTGCTAATTAAGCCGGTCGTCTGTATGCCTGAATGATAGCTTCTACGTGTTTAGTGGCTCGTTGAGTCATTCTTATCGGCCATGTACTACCATATACTAATACTTCCATCACAATCCCCCAATCCTACCAATTCCACCACTCACTGCAGTTGTCACACGATCCCTCAAGTTCAACGATTGCCCATAATAATTTGTTGCACTTGGAAAGCGATAAGCTTGGGGGAAACCGGGAAGGGGGCAGCTCTTATCTACGGCCAGTTACTCATACAAATTTCATCTCCATTTTATATTTACAGGCTGATGACAAATCCCTGCTGGCCCGCTTCTTTCATGCGGATCGATCGCTCACAGCGGTGGCCAGCGAGTTGGACAGCTTCGATGGACGAGCGGAGCCGGATAGATGCACCAGATTGGTCAGCAGACTGCGACAGAACCAGGTGAATTCTTAAGACCAGAATATAATTTATAAATATACTAATACACCTTTCTTTCTGCAGGACAAAGTGCTGGCCATCACGAACTTGATAATGGAGGAGCTCCTCGGCGAGGATCGAGATCCTCGCGCCTTTCGGGCCAAGTTCCCCGAAGAGGTGCTCCAGGAGAATCTGGCCGGGCAGCTGTGGTTCGGCGCCGAGTGCCTGGCTGCTGGCTCCTCGATCATGAACCGGGAGACGGAGAGCAAGGAGATGCGTCCACTGGCCCAGGCGGTGACCAAGAGTTTGGGAAACGTGCGTGTCCTGCTGAGGGATCAGTGTTTAAAGAACAATGTGCCCAACAGCAAGACTCTTCACCTGGACCTGAACGACTCCACCACGGAGCAGCTTTATGAGAGTCTGAAGATCTTTGATCGACTCTTCGCCGAGTTCGAGTTGAGCTATGTGAGTGCCATGGTGCAGGTTAAGTCCCGCCACGAGTACGAGATGCAGCAGTGGATAGGCGTGCTCTTCTCGGAGACACTGCAGCGGGCTCTGAAGATCGGACTGCTCGACCAGGACATGGTAGACGCCTTCGATCCCGGCCTGATGTTCTCCATTCCACGGCTGGCCATTGTTGCTGGTTTGGTGGTCTATGCCAAGGGACCGCTCAACATGGACATGCCGGGTGATCAGCTTTCAGAGATGTTCCGTCCCTTCCGCACCATCCTCATCAAGATCCGCGATCTCCTGCGCAACCTGAACAACCAGGAGCTGTATCAGTTGGAGAAGCTGCTGTGCACCAACGAGGACATCAACACTAAGGTGGGTGTGGATTTAAGGCTAGTGGAAATGGTTTTTGAAATTTAAAGCATTTTCTTTCTTAATACCAGGTGCCTCTCGGTTCGAGCAGCATCGAGGCGCCCAGTCCGGAGCACAGCTCCCATCCTACGACGAGCAGCAGCCAGAACCATAACAACAACAGCAGCAGCAACAACAACCACAGCAGTAGCACCACCACGACAACAACCACCGCGGTGACAACAACTACGCACAGGACTGTGGAGCGGCTGGTGGATCAGCGAAACAACAACAACAATAATAGCAACAGCAACAGTAGCACCAATCCTGCCGGGGAGGGAGCTACGCTGCGCACTCCGTCCATGTTGTCGCTGTCGCCCACCAGCACGCCCACCGCCTCGCCCGCCCCTTCGCCCACGCCCTCGCACTCGATAGCCTCCACCTCATCTGCGGCCACCAGCTCCACGAATCCGCCAGCGGACTGGAGCGATGGCGATGATGAGGACGAAGACGACGAGGAGGAGGATGAGGATGAGGATCTAGAAAGCAGTGACGATGACACGGACGAGGAGCAGCTGCTCAAGGACATTGTGGCGGCTGACTGTGCCTCCGGATACCTCATACCCAACACCAATCTCGGAAATTTGCTGCAGCCCCAGGAGGTTCCTCTCACGGACAACTTCGTGGCTAGCGAAGATGACGAGTACGGAACGGGGGAGCAGCAGGGCCAAGCAGAGGAGGAGGAGCCCAGCACCAGTGCTGCCATGCTGGCGGCCACCCGCACCTTGCAGCGGCTGCGCCTGCCCAGCAGCGACACTGATCCTTTTGCCGAGCCCACGACAATCAAGGCATCCGAGGAGCAGATGCAGCAGCAACCGGCCTTGCCAAGCGGACGCCATCGGGAGAGTCACAGTCAGCGGTACCATCAGCGCCACCACCAGCACCACCACCATCATCATCACCATCACTCACATCAGCATCAGCATCAGCACCGCCAGCCGCATCCGCATCGCACAACGCGCAGTGGTCGCAAACGATGCAGCCTGGAAGCGCCCGAGGCGGAGCCAATTCAGCTCGAGAGAGAGCAGAACCTGGCCAGCGGCAACACCAGTGCCGCCTCCTCGCTGTCCGACGATGTGTCGCTGGCCATGCGTAATACCACGGCACGCCTCAAGTTCAAGTGAGTAGGGGAGGACGGAATAAGTTTTTAAAATATTGGTTTATTACAAAATGAGCATTCTAATTTATTATTGTGATTGTGGATAATAAGACAATTTTTAGAACAATTTCATTAATTTTCCTTGAACATTAAATATATGGTGTTTGAATAAACGAATTAAATGTGCCAAAAATGAGACAGACATTGCTTCCAAGAAGCCGTAAAAACAATACAATTTCTATTTGAGTTTTTTGATTGCTCATAAAGTAACCATTTATGATAATAGTAATTGATATAATAATTGTTCTGAAAACAAAAAGCATTTTCTTGGAAATAATAATTTAAAGCATTATAACCATTGTTTGGTATATTATATTTTATTTTGAAATCAGCTTTTAGCTACTATAGGTACTTTAAAAATGAAACACTCCAAAACTAATGAATTTTCCCATCCACAGGAGCACCGAGAACCTGCTACACCGCCTGTTTGTCTGCATTGCCGGGGTGGCCGACCAGCTGCAAACGAATTTCGCCTCCGATCTGCGCCAGATCCTGCGCAGTGTATTCCTCATGAACATGTCGTCCGCCCAGGAGGAGATCGACATACCGGAAAAGACAAAGGAGTCGGAGCTGTTCGAGTTCCGGGCCTCCGAGAACGATGTGATACAGGAGAGCGCCGGCTCCAACCAAAGCATTTACTCAGCGGAGGAGGTGAATCCCGAGCTGGACAATGTGTTCAGCGCCGGCGGTGGCAACCAGGCCACTGGCCAGCGCCATTCCGCCGGCGCCAGTATGCAGCGAAATAATACCATCGATCTGGTGGGTCAATCGAGCGACGGCAGTCCCAGTGGAGCAACGATGGCCACCAGTCGTTCGCATGTGACGCGTAGCCGGAGTCTCGGGGATCAGGAGGCAGCCAGCACTGCCACCAGCAGCAGTGCACACTTGCGTCAGCAGGAACAGCAGCAATTGCAGATTCAGCTGCAGCGGCAGCGAAACAATTCCGTGGGCAGTAACACGCCCTCCAGCGCCTCCTCCACAAGCTCCAGCTCCGAGCAAAACTCCCCGGTGAGCGCCAGGAGCGGCAGTCGCCGGCGCCTGCAAAGCAACAACGAAACCCAGATGCCCTCCTCGGCCACTTCCGGCTCAGCCACGCTCTCTCCGCCGGCCTGGATTCCCGATGGGAAGGCACCGCGCTGCATGGCCTGCCAGACGCCCTTCACTGCCTTCCGCCGGCGGCACCATTGTCGCAACTGCGGGGGCGTCTTCTGCGGAGTCTGCTCCAACGCCTCCGCTCCGCTGCCGAAATACGGACTGACCAAGGCGGTGCGCGTCTGCCGCGACTGCTATGTGCGCGAGGTGCACTCGGGTGGACGCATGGGTGTCCAGGGGGTGCAGAGTGTCCAGAGCGTCCAGGCCACCGCCTCTTAGGACTGGCCCATGGCGCTAGACGGCGCGGCTGACGACCAAAAATATGGCCGAATCGGAGGAAAAGCAAACTGTGAATCGCAATTGTTCCGCAAACATTGTTTTCTTTATTTTATACGTAATCCTAATCCCATGCCAAGGGGCCACATGACCACAGCCAGGGCTCGCGCATATAGATCATATATATCTTAAATATATATAACCATAGCTATATATTTTTATTTCCAAAACAAAGACCAACTAAGCGTCTATCAAACGAGTGTACAATAAAGCTTCAATATGTACTAACGCGACATTTGTTCATATCAAAAGATAGCGCCAGCTATAAGTTCGGCTTGCATTTTTTAAGAATATCACATTTTGTTTTCTGTTCTTCGTTTTGTTTCGGGGCTTAGGGGGAAGCACCTTTTAGTGTGGACAAGAATTTTCTACGCGTAAGCTTTAACCTTGCAGAATCCTTCGTCACTAGCCAGGGCCTTACTATATATTGCAGTTAAAGATATAGATAAATGTATATTTTTCTAGCGTTGAGTAACATTGTGCGAGCGTATCAAGCTGGTTAGTAGCCGTTAATTGTAGCAGAAATTTTTGCGAAACATTTTTTGTGATTTATCGTAATTTAATATGTATTAATTCCCTTATGTTAAATCGTTTCTATCTGACCTAGCTGGAATAAATAAGTACGTAGATGTATGTGGCAAAATGAGATCCTTAAATTGAATTTCAACAATAATAAAAACTTCATTACCACTAAAGATAAACATATATATATATTTTCTGATTCAAACTTGTATAAAGAATGTAACGAAAGAGAAATCTGTATATTGAGTTTAAGATATATACGCAATTTTATGCTTAAATAAAAATCAATCAAATCAACATGCCTTTTTTCTACTGGTTTACGGGAAATATGATCACAATGTATTACACTAATACGTCACACTGATACACTTTAGTTTTTCCGTTTATTTTTAATTAATTTTTTTTGTTTGGTTTCCTTGAGGATTTCTTCGTTATCCTTTGTTTATTGATACCCCGAGGATGAAGCTGGTGCAGCAAAAGTCGTCCAGGATCTTGAAGATCTCTTCTGCTCACTCCAAGTCCGTTTCAATGATGAACTTCGAGGAACGCTTTCGGGATAGTATAGACCCGGCGCAAATAAATCTGGTGCTCGATCTTGACGATAGCTTCTTTGCCAACTCCTACCAGCTGGTCCAGAGTCTCAGCGACCGCAACCCCTTTCTGGCTGCCAAGTTCAAGTTGTATGTGGACATCCTCTCCAGACTTCATGGCCACTATTGCAATGAGGTGGACCAAGGAAAGGCACTGCAGCTGAAGGTGAAAACGGCGGACGAGAAGCTAAAACTGGCCTTGAAGACCACGGCCACCTCGGAGGCGATGATGGAGAGCCTGCGCGAGTCCTTGGAGGAGTCCTGGCGGAACGAGGACGCCACCAAGAGTAGAGAGGAGACCATGCAGATGCAACTGATGTCGCTGGTCCAAACCGATCAACCCATTTCAAACAGGGCAATGCACGATGCACCGATAATCAATGCGTGAGTTCTTTAAATCTATTTAAAAATAAAATATAGTACATCTAGCTTTTATTTTTTCTAGCAAGGAGGCCAACATCCAGCGCTTGGTTTTTCGGGAGCGGGATCGCCTGGCCGCCGAGCTGAAGGACTACCAGAAGCGCCTGCAAACGAATCGTCTTTACTCCGAATCGCTGGAGGGGATGATAGACGCATCCAGGGAGATGATCAGCAAGCTCAGTTCTCGGGTGAAGCATTTCGAGAGTGAGAACTTTCGGCTGGAACACAAGCTTAATGTGGAACAGGATAAGTACGAGGATCGGCTGTTGCATCTTAACAAGGAGCTAGCACATGTAGTGCAACAAAATCAGGAACTCCAGGCGGCCGACAATTCGCTGGCAGAGCTGGTGGCCTCCAATGATGCACTGAAGCTGCGCAACGATCGTCTCCAGCGGGACAACTATAGTTACTCAAAGTCCCTTCGCCTGCTGGAGGATGACAAGCAGAAGCTATCCATGAACCTCAAGGCGGCCGAAGGATTCAAAGATGTCCAGAGGCGAAATATCGCCGATCTTGACTTGTCCCGCCGCGCAGCTGAGCGGGATGCCAAAAAGAAGGCGGACGAATCGCAGATCATGGAGCGACGATTCCATCAGCTGTCCAAAAAGAACGCGGAGCTTAATGATCAGGCTGTGGTTAATCAGTGAGTAATAGGATAATAATTGTTGAATTTCCTAAAACCCTTCTTATAGAAACGAGATTAAGGTTCAGGAGAAGACGATAATGGTAGCCACTGCCAAGCTGGATGAGGCCATTCGCCAGAAGGATGAAATAGGTCGAACCCGGGACAAACTGAGAGTAGAAATCACCCGTCTGAACGACACGGTGGCCGGAGTGCGTCACGAAATCGCTACTATTCGGCACCAGATGCAGGATCTGCAGAACGACCTTCATCGTGCCAACAAGCAGCTGGACGAGAAGGACGTGCAGGTACAGAAAATAGCCCGTGAAAAGAAGGAGCTGAGCGTGGAGCTCAATGACGCCTACAAGAAGATAGACGGCATCGAAGGTGGGTACTCCTAGAAAAAAACTTTTTCCCATTTTAAATGTATTTTCCAGAGATACTTGCCCTAAAGACCGAGCGATTGGAGGGCCTTCAGGTGGAAGTGCAGCAAAAGCAGGTGGACTTCGCGAACGTCAAGAAGCAGATGGAGATCATTCACTCGGAGAAGGTTATGTTAATGAAGACGATGGACATGTGCTCGAGGGACCGCTCCGTGCTCCAAAACAATGAGACCAAGCTGACGCACCAGATCAACCAGATGACCAGCGCACTGGCCATTAACGAGAAGGAGATCTCCACTCTGGGCAACCAGATTGAGCAGCTGAACCGTACCGTCAAGCAGAAGCAGAACGAGATCCATGCCAAGGGTCGCCTGTTAACCAGCACACGGTCCGATCTCCGGGAGATGAAGATCCGGGTGGAGCAGGCTCAGCACACCATTGACACCGATGAGAAGCGCTTTAAGACCATGGCCTGTGCCCTCGAGGAGGTCACCAAAGAGAAGAGTCTGGTGGGCCTGCAAATGGTCAGGAGGAATGATGAAGTGCGCCTGCTAAGGGAGAAACTGGAAATGATGCAGAAGGCCATTGATCGGGGAACCATGCAGTACAACCAGAGAATCGAGGACATCCGATTGCTCAAACTGGAGGTGGTCAATCTGCGATCGTCGCACGAGTGCATGCAACGAGAGGTGGGCAACAAGGCGGCCATGCGCCATAATGTGGTCCGACTGGAGCGGCAGCTCAACCGGGAGAGGCTCAGGGTATCCGCCTACTCGGAGGAGCTGGCCCGCCCCTGTCGCATCCACCGCTGGCGAGTCTTGCTCGGAAAAGATCCTCGGCGTTTCGAGTTGATACGCAAGAATCAGCATCTTCTGAAGCGTAACATTCGCATATCCGTGGAACGGGATAATAAGGCCAAGGAACTGGCGGATTTTATGCGCCTGCACGAGGATTTCAAGCGGCAGATTAAGCACCTACCCGATCCCAGTGTGCTCCAGAAGCTCTGCGTCCTGCAGCGCTTAAATCGCAGCCAGACCCGTCAGATAAAGGCAATGAAAGCCGAACTTAGGATCAATGAAATCGATCTTAAGGCCAGGGAAAGCCTGATAGAGGGTTTCCAGGAACAGCTACGCCTACATCATCAGAAGAATCTGGAGTCCACTATTTGTAGGGCGGATTTTAAGGTTCCCACTGCTGAGACGATGGACCATAAATTCGTGGATAATATATTCGAATTTACGTCCACCTGCGAAGATAAATCTGAATCAAATGAGGGATTTAGATTACATATAAGAGGTTCCAGATCCACTATTGCTGGGGTATCTTTTACACTTTGAAACAATTTAAAATAAATAATTTCTATAAAATATTTCTGATATTCATATCATTTATATAGTAAGTATTGCATCTTATACATATAATATTTACCTTTTCAGGAGGAACTTGAAATGATATTACTTAAAGTAGATTGGTGACCATCTTAAAACCAGCACCCAGAGTCCTAGGCAGTTGGGCTGGTGCCGAATAGCAATGCATCTGCTCTAGCAACTGTCGCTCCTCCAGGAGCTTCTGCTTGTGCTTCTTCTCCTCCAGAAGTTGCGTTTTGGTTAGCGCCAGATTAGCCCGCATCTCCTCCAGCTTTTCCTTCTTGGACTTCTCGTCTGCCTCCTTGGCACTAAGTTCGGCCTTTAGCACCCTCAATTTGCGATCCTTAGCGGATAGGTTAGCCTGTTACGGAATGGGAAATAAATTTACTCCATATAATAATCCTTTCCAGACCCACCTTTACGCTATTGAGCTCCGCCCGGACTTTGTGGCTGGGTAACTTGAGCATGAACTCCCTCAAAGCCGCGTAAAGCTGCTGGGCCTCATTCAAGGCCCTTTCCTGCTCCAAGGCAGCCACGTTCTGCTGGAGCAACTGCCTTCGCAGGATACTGATACGCCCGAGGAGATCCATCTTTTCCGGATCCTTGCCGCTTAGGAGTCGCCAGCGGTGGACGTTCATCGGTGTGGCCATCTCGTCCTGCAAGGCACGCGCCTTGATCCGCTCCTGGTTGAGCATGCGGTGCATTTGGAGTAGTTCCTGCCGCAGATCCGCTGCACTCTCCCTGTCCGCCCGTAGGACATCTCTTTCAGTTCGCAAGTTCTTTATCTCCACCCCCATCAATCGCATATCATCCTGACACTGGCTGCACTGCCTCTGGGTCTGATCGTACACAGTTTGAAGGTTCTCCTGGCTGTGCTTCAGTCGTTCGTACTCCTCGTTTCGTTTGGTCAGCGCCGCACTGATGGCATTCTTCTCGTTCATCAAGTTGTCCACATCCTTGCGCAGGCGCGCCAACTTCTGTTCGTCCTCTTGGAGCGACTTGGCATGACGATCGTTTTCCTTGCGCTTGTCCAGTAGTTCCGCCTTGGTGTGCTGCTGACCCAGTTGGGCGTGCCGGATATCGTTGCGTAGAAGGCGGCGCTCCTTCTCCATGCGATCGATCTGCAACTGCAGCTTGGACATCTCGGCATCCCGGTAGCCGATTTTTGCCTTGAGTTTCTCGACGTGCGCCTGAAGGTTTACCAGTTGGTCACGAAGCTTTTGCCGCTCCTCGTCTGCCACCTGGACGCTCCGTTGAAGGGTCTGGCGCTCGGCAGCAAGGACATCGTGTTGCTGCTGGAACTTGGAGCACTTGGCCTCCAGGTCGCTGATGGTGCGTTTCAGTTCGATCTCGTAGTTCTCCTTCAAGTGCATCTCGTCTGGGATAGATAGGAAAAATTAATATTAAAGATCATTAAATTCGAAACCTTACTCTGCAGCGCATCCAACTTGTCTATCCAGTGCTGAATCTCATCGAGCTTTTTAGTCTTCTCCTTCTTCAGTTTGTTTGCATCCTCATTCAGTTTCTTTAGCTTGGTGTCCATGGTGCTGATGGTGTCCTTGAGAGCACGCACTTCGTGTTGCGCCTCTTGGTGCAGTGCATTGCTCTGCTCTAGCTGCTGGTGCTCAGCCTGCAGTTCCCGCCTCAGGGAATCCCGCTCCTTGGTCAGGTTCTCGTTGTTCTTCTCGAAGTGGTGAACCACGCGGCGCATTGACTCCAGTTCCTTGTCCTGAGTGCCCAGCTGGGTTCTGTAAACATATGTTTTGTAGTTAATATTAAATAAATAAAAATGATCCTTTACTTCAGCCTTATGTTCTGCGTTTCCACTTCTCGTTTGGATTCATCTAGTCCCGCATACTTCCGAGCAATCGTCTCCTGGGACTTGGCCAGTTTTCCATTGTCCTGGCGCACCTTAATCAGTTCATCCTCGCGCACCTTTAGCAGATTGATGCGTTGGTTTAGAGCCCGTTTATTCTTGTCCCTTTCCTGCACTGTGTACTCCAGATCCACTGTGATCTTGGCCAGCTTATTGTTGGTGGCATTATGCTGTGTATTTAGGTGCTCTAGGTTCGTCTTAAGGGACAGAATCTGCAAGTTCTGACGCACTTTCACTTTGGTCATGTGCTCGTTGGCGGACTTCATCTGGGAAATTTGCTCCTGGTAGCGGGACTCTTCGCTCTTCATGGTGGAAAGTTCCTTGGACAGGGCATCGCTCTTACGTTTCAAGTTACAGGCATCGCTAGAGGTTTCCTAAGAAAATAATGATCAATTGGATAATAAATAAAGTAAGAAATGGCCTATTACATCTAGTAGTTTGAGCAATTCCTTGTTCTTGGCCTCCAATCCTTCAATGGTGCTGTCCAATTCCGTGGCATAGGTGCGCTGCAATTGCAACCGCTTGTTGAGATCGGCAATCTCTGCGGTGAGTCGCTCCCGCTCCTTGCCATCGTCACGCTTGCTCATGGCCAGCCGTTTCTCATTGAGATGGGCCACCATTTGCTCCGATTCGTCCAGTTTCTCCCGGAGACTTAAGACCTCGTCCTGGGCGGATTGTTCTCGGATTTGGGCAGCATCCTTTTGCTTCCAAGCTCCCTCTACCAATGAAATTTACCACTTTATAAAGTTTATAACATGAATTAGTTTTATTCTAGTTACCTATGACCCCTCGGAGCTCCTCAATGGTGGCCATGTCCATTTTAGTCACCCGAGCTGCATTTTCCAAACGCACTTCAAGGCTTTCTATCTCCCTTCGCAACTCCTGGGATCGTTCCTTCTCTATTCGCAGATCGCTTTTATAGCGACTGCCACAAATGAGCAGCCTCTGGACATTGTCCGCATTATTGGGAGTATCCTTTTGCCGCAAAGCTTTGGTAGCCTAAACAAATTAATATTATAATCTGTATTTTCAAGTTGAACGTCTCTTATATCGTTACCTCGGGTATCTTCTCGCATAACTCCTTAAAGAAATCATCATCGAAATCATCTGGCACCAGTGGTTCATCTTCTGATCCTGAAGCCTTCGACATCCTTGATTTTTTACTTTCGCCTGCACCTTATTGAACAAACTGATAGCCTTAACCTTGTCCTGGCAACAAGTTGCCATACCGGCACAGCTGCCAAGGGCAACAAAAAACGACTTGTTTACTGGATTTTATTTAGGTAGTACATATGTAAAAAAGCGTCATTGTGCTCTTAGTCGCTATGGAAACAAAATACATGCCACTGCATATTCATGTGAAGTCATTTATAGCTATTGAATTTTAAAATTCCCTATGGCTTTTGAGTAAACTTTGGAATCTTGGGATAATTATTAAACTACATTTTACTAAAAATAAGCAGCTAATGCATACTAGTTACTTTGAGCTTAAAATTAAAGTAATAATTTAAGAGGGACTTGGCATCACAATAGCTTCGATGTTGGGACTACGGCCACTCATCCTCGAAGGGAGCATCGTTAACCGTGTGAAAACTGAGCCCAGTGCCTTCAGGTTTGTGCCAGGAGGGCAGCAGAACAGTTCGCCAGAAAGATCTACAAATAAGTCTTAGCATAAAAGAGTTTTACATTGGGAAATTCAACTTGCCTGCCTCGCACCAGACCCAAAAACAGTTTCCAGTTCTTTTTGGTGCCAAAGTTATAGGGATTTATGTAAATGCGTTGTTGCTGCAGGAGCCGTTTTGTCTCCGCTTCGTTGATGTGGGCCTCCACACTCGTCTCTCCGCGAGTGATGAGTTTGGCATGCCAGATGGAAAGGCTCCCGAGAGCCAAGACCACTGCCACATTTGTGAAGGCCATAAACCACAGGGCTCGTCGTCGACCAGGCGAAGGTGCATCCGTATCCACAAGGGGTGTCGGAAGATTGTGTATTGCAGGCGGCAGCATAAACTCATCGTACTCGTGGGGATGGGTCTGCAAAAAGGAATCTATTAAATATTCTGCTGGTAGTTGTGCCATAACTGTTTTACCACAGGAATTATGTGTCCACTGAGGTTAAACTTGACTGGCTGCCCCTCCAGAGGCTCAATCTCCGTCCAGGTTTCGCCATTGTCCAGCCACAGGTATTTGTGGCCAATCTCCAAACCAAACAGAATGAGAAACAGGCAACCCAGAGTGGTGTACGTCATGTAGAGGAAAAAGTACCGATGGTTTCCATAGCCCACACAGTTGTTGAGCCAAGCTGTACATGGAATACATTAGAATAAAGTTCAGAAAAAGACAAAAAGTGAAGATACTCACGGCAGTGGTGATCCATCTTGAGGATGCAGCGATTGCAGACGGAGCAATGATGAGTTCTTGGTGGTTTGGGGGCTATGCACTTGCCGCACATGCTAACCGCTTCCACCAGGGACACGCCTTCCGGTGGATGACCCGCCGGCGTGATCACAGCCATAATGTAGTGGAAAACCACATTGAGCAACAGCCAATTGCCCACAACGAGCAGGAAATAGGTAACCAACTGGCTCTTGGCCCACCAAAAGGGCAAACCAATCCAGTAGGCAATACTAACCACGGAAGTGGTCAGGGCAGCTACTCCAACCACAAAAAACTGAAAGGGTATATATACAAAGTAAGTACTAATTAAAAATCACATACAGATATGTTTGAATCATAATGGATTAATAGATAAATCTTTTCAAAAAGTAGGTTTTTTTTTTTAAGAAAACAAATGTTATGTAGCTTAGTGTTACCGGTCCTAGGCAGTGAGTGTAGTTGTCGACGAACCAAAAAATGGGGGTCAAACAGACGTCGGAGGCGTAGGAGGAGTTCATATAAGACCAACGAAGCCGGCATGAAGCGCTGTTAAATAAGTAAACAATAAACAAAAACATTGGAGTGAGTGTTCCAATTGTAAAGTGGGAACTTCGAATCTTACAGCAACTCCTGACTAGAGCGACCTCTCCATGTGATACGCGCCATTGTTATCTATGTGTCCTTGCCCCTTTTGTATAATCTTTTGGTTTTATTACAGCATTTTTGGCAATAAATAAACTTTTTTGGGAAAACAACAAAGTTTGCAGCGTTTTAGTGTGACCTTTTGTGTTGAAAATCCCTTAATCAGCTGATGCCTATCGATTACCGATTATCTGACTATCGTTTTCTGTTCAACCAACGTTTGTTTTGCATTTTCCGGTGAAATTGTTAAATTTGTGAAAAATATCATGCGTTCACGGAGCAGGAGCCGCAGCCGGCAGAGGGAACGCCGCAGATCCGTTTCCAGGGATCGTTCCCGCTCGGAGAGAAGAACCTACCACAAATCGCAGCCAAGACGATCAGTTTCCCGCGAGAGGGAAAGAGACAGGGAGAGGGAGAGGGAGCTCCACAGGGACAGGACTTCACATCGCAACTCTCGTCGTTCCCGGGAAAAGGAGGTGGTGTCTCGCCGCCACAGAGCCCACTCCTCATCCTCCAGCAGCTCCGGCAGCAGCAGTCGAAGCTCTAGTTCCTCCAGAAGCCCATCCAGAAGCCGAAAATCCCGCCCAAAATCCGTGGAACGATGGCCCAACGATCGTTTCCACGAAAACAACGACAGGCGGCAGAATCCTTTCAGGGGAAGGGCTCCCGAGGGCAGTTTCATCAATGACCCAGCAGAACCCTCGTCCAGATCGCAACACAGAGGCCGAGGAGCCTCTAACCACCAGTTCAAAGGAGATTCCAAGGCGATCAATGCCCGCCGGAACCAGAGAGTTCGCATCGCCGAGGAGGGCGTGCCAGAAGTCTGGGGCAAGAGCCCAACCCGGCCAGAAAGCGACGAAGTGGAGCTGGTAAAGGGCTCCTTCGTGGGACCCAAGAAGAAAAAGAAAAAGGGCAAGAGTAAACATAAGAAAGCGGACAAGAAATCCAAGAAAAAGTCAAAGAAATCGAAGAAGAAAAAGAGCAAAAAGGAGTCCAGCTCCTCGGATGATTCCTCCTCCAGTTCCTCTAGCAGCGAGGACAGCAGCGACGACTCCAGTAGCTCCAGTTCCAGCTCCGAAAGCGAAGATGAGTCCGGGGAGGAAGATGTTTGGCTGGAAAAGACTGCCGAGGGTGTCAAGAAACCCAAAAAGAAGAAGTCATCCACCAGCAAAAAGGATAAAAAGTCAAAAAAGAAGAAAAAGAAGCGGAAATCAGAGGCCCAGAAGTCCAAGAAGAGCTCCTCTTCCAGTGGCAGCAGGTCCAAGGCTAAGGACAGTGCCTCCCACAACGATGAGGACGTGGGTCCTTCGCTGCGAACCGGTGGAAGCCTGAATCAAAAGGATTTCGGAAAGGCCCTGTTGCCTGGAGAAGGTGCCGCCATGGCTGCCTACATCGCCGAGGGCAAGAGGATTCCCCGCCGTGGTGAGATCGGCCTAACCTCCGACGAGATTGCCAACTTTGAGTCCGTTGGCTACGTGATGAGCGGCAGCAGGCATCGACGCATGGAGGCGGTGCGTATCCGCAAGGAGAACCAGCTGTACTCCGCCGACGAAAAGCGGGCGCTGGCCATGTTCAGCAAGGAGGAGCGGCAAAAACGCGAGAACAAGATCCTGTCGCAGTTCAAGGACATGATTCACTCTAAGCTGCAGGCTAAGGACAAGAAGTAGGCGAGCCATCAACTATATTTAGAAATAGGTGGATCTTTTGCTGCCCCAGACCCAACGAAACACCTAAACTTTATAAACTTTTAAACGCAATCATAATAAAACAAATTGTAAATTACATTGAAGATTTCATGGCTTAACCAGTAAAATAAATTTGTACCTACTCACTATTTATAAAATCATGACCGATAATATTTTCTTTTATAAATCCCTGGAAATATACTTTTTAAATATTAATTCTCAATCTTACAGTACCGAGTTTTAAAGTAATTATTTAACTCTATAAAAAATAATTTTTTTTAAGTGTTTAAAAAACAGGCACCCTGTTCCCGCCAGGAGAATACCCCCACCACATTCGGTATTTTATCGTCTGGTCACACTGCCGCGATGCTCGAAAACGTGGGGTTGAAAAACCTTTGACTGAAGCTGCGCCAATTCCCCAATTAAACCGCAAACTTTGCATAATTTGGCGGTTACCTCGATGTCTGCACTTATTTACCAGACCCATTAACCGAATTCCGCGCGACGGAGTGTGAAGTTTCGTTCAGACCGCGAGTTTTATGTGCGAAAAGACTCATCTGCAGGGGGTGGTGTTAGTGCGAGCGAGACGGCAGCTGGCGAAGGCCGGAGCAAAACAAACGTAACGCTAACCGGCGGCAAAGAAGAAGAGCAGGAGCAGATAAGCCGAATACAATTGAAAAATACATTAATAAATACAAACACACGGAGGCACACCCACAAGCACACTCGCTTCGTTTAATCAATTAACGGGACAACGGCCGAAGAAACCGTTACAGTTCGTTTTCAGACGTCGCGTGCGAAGATTGTGTCACCCAGGCAGCGGGATAATAATAAAAACTAACTCCTGGATATAACCCACCCCATAGCCACCATGCCCGCCGTCGATGAGCTGCAGTCGCCGTCCAGCGAAATAATCCTCCTGACCCCAGTTCCGGAAACCCACCTTCCAGCATAGCCCAACCGGCGGCCAATCCCCCCGAGAAAACCCAAGGTCGCGAGGGATCCGCCGAATCGGACAGCAGCAGGGTTGTGATCAAAAAGCAGCTGGGCCTCCTGGAAGGCGTGGCCATCATCCTGGGCATTATCTTTGGATCCGGAATCTTCGTATCCCCGAAAGGCGTCCTCCTGGAGGTGCAGTCCGTGGGCGCTTCGCTGGTCATCTGGGTCCTCTGCGGACTGCTGTCCATGATAGGTGCCCTATGCTATGCGGAGCTCGGCACTGCCATACCCAAATCCGGCGGGGATTACGCCTATATCTTCGAGGCGTACGGATCTCTGCCGGCATTTCTCTATCTCTGGGATGCCATGATGATATTCGTGTGAGTTCTACTGGTGATTTTTGTTTAAATAATGCTGTATATGTTATCGCTAAAGTTCCCTTATCAGTAGTTCACTCGAAAACATAAACAAAGCCCCAATTAGTTTCATTAATCGGTTTCAAATTACACAATAATCATTAAAAAAGCTGATAGCAATTAAAAAACCATTTGTTTGGTCAGTTCCCGTTCTTACTTTCACGAGTTTTGCATTTAAGGGGGTTCAAAAATCTTTTTATAATTTTTAAAAGTTTTCTGGATGTTGGATTTCTTTTATACAGAAATGTATATAAAGTATAGTACTACTTTTTCCAGACACTAAACCTTATTTTCAGACAGGGTCAAGTTCAAAAACTTTCCAAGATTAGATAGAAAGCAGGAATAATTTTGGATTGGTTTGGCTTTAGCCGGTTTTTCAAGGTTAAGCCATATATTATATTAAATACATAGAAAGTGAAACGGCCTTATCACGTAAACTACACTCCATAAATGTATTTATTAGGGCAGTTCTGTGAGTTCTGCATTGACCGTTTTATTGCCTGCTATTTTTGGCATTTAGGATCGGCGATAAGCGCGAATATCTGCTTTTCCACTTTTGCATGCGGAGACTATCAGCAGGGAATATGTCTGAATGCAGTCTGTGTAAATTTTCCGCTGATTAGTTATCTTATCTCTTGCAGACCCACGACCAATGCCATTATGGGCCTGACCTTTGCCTCCTATGTGCTGGAACCCTTTTTCGGCGGAGCCTGCCACATTCCCAAGATAGCCCTGCAGTTGCTGGCGGCCATCACCATCTGCTTCCTCACCTACCTGAATTCGTACTACATGAAGGTGACCACCAAGATGCAGAACATCATCATGTTCACCAAGATCGCTGCCCTGGTCATGATCATCCTGGTGGGCCTGGTCTGGATGCTAATGGGCAATGTGGAGAACTTCACCAGACCCTTCGATGACACAGAGACTGATCCGGGCAAGATGTCGGTGGCCTTTTATTCCGGCATCTTTTCGTATGCGGGCTGGAATTACTTGAACTTCATGACGGAGGAACTGCGGGATCCGTATCGCAATCTGCCGCGCGCCATTTACATATCTCTGCCACTGGTCACCGGCATTTATGTGCTGGCCAATGTGGCTTATCTGGCCGTGCTGTCGCCCTCTGAGATGATCGCCTCCAATGCCATCGCAGTGGTGAGAATTTAGCGACCCTGTTCCTATTTGCAATCCGATCGGATTTTGGCGGGAATTAAGATTGTAGATTATAAAGCTTGAATTTACGATAGTATATTTATCTACTTTAACAACCTATTAGTTTTTAATTTAATAACGTTTAAAATATCTTTTATGTTCCTTATGTACCTAGGGATTATTCTAATTTTCCTATACGTAATTTTAAATCGCTTAAATGAGATAGATTGTAGAAAAGTTAAATTATTTGATCGGAATCGCAAAAGGCAACAATCGTGTATGGGCTTAATTAAACCAGAGCGGCTTGTTGAATGATTTTAATTGATCTCCTCTCTCCACAGACCTTCGGCGATAAGATTCTCGGCGCCTTTTCATTGGTCATACCCATCATGGTGGCCATCTCCGCCTTTGGCGGCCTCTCCGTCCACATCATGACCTCCTCCCGCATTTGCTTCGTGGGCGCCCGCAATGGACACATGCCGGCGATTTTGTCGCACATCAGCGTGAAGAGCTACACCCCACTGCCGTCGCTCGTTTTTCTGGTGAGCAGCGCCCCTCAATTAGCGCACAAAATGATATTATGTAATTAATCCCTAATTGATTTGACTGTGTCTCTCTCGGCAGTGCTTTCTCTCCATTGTGATGCTGGTGGTGAGCGACGTGTATGTGCTGATCACCTACGCCAGCATTGTGGAATCGTTCTTTATAATGCTGTCGGTGTCGGCGGTTCTGTACTTCCGCTACACACGTCCCTGCATGGATAGGCCAATTAAAGTGAGTTTAGCGTAGTCAGTGTTGCCAAACAAGATATTCTGTAGCTCTATATTTTAATTAAACATGTAGTTTTGTAGCTGTTTAGAATTAAATCAAATGAAATTACATGGATAAATTTGAATAGATACACATTTAAAGTAGATTGAGCACAAGTCTTGA